TGTATTCCGTACCACGGGCGAAAATACTTCAGAGTAGTCGACTCCTTCGGCTTGGGTGTAGCCTTGGGCCACTAGTCGAGCTTTATATCTTTGTACACAGCCGTTTTCATCTCTCTTTACTTTAAAAGCCCATTTGCTGCCGACAACGTTCTTGCCTTTGGGTAATGAAACAAGTTCCCAGGTTTCGTTTTCAATAAGCGAATTATACTCTGAGTCAGTAGCTTGTTTCTATTCTGCTGAATGTTCTCCAGAAAAGGCTTCATCCATATTAATTGGCTCGTTAATATCTGCTGTTATATCGTTCGCTAAGTAGCATTCCTCATCAAATCTATTGGGTGGTCTTCTCATTCTGCGTTCACCAACGTTACGAACTTCATTCATAAACGTCTCTTCAAAGGTTCCTCCCACTGGCTGGTCATTGGCTTGCTGGTTTCCTTCAGCATTCTCTGCAACTCTTTGATTAGCAATTTCATCTTGATTTTCATTTCCGTCAACAGGAGTTTCTTCGATCATTATCGGAATATCATCCTCTGCGCGATCATCAAAATTTGATGAAGTTTGAATATCAAAGTCATGAAATTTCTTCTCCAGAAATATGACATCACGACTGCGAAGGAATTTACGAGAAACAGGATCATATAACTTATATCCTTTCACACCTTCTGGATACCCCATGAAAATTGACTTTCTAGATTTTTCATTGATTGTCAGGGATATGCATGTACGTAATACATCCGAATACGCGTAAATTGGACACATCAGGTTTCTTTTCAAACAAGCATTCGTACGGAGTGATATCATTTAAAGCTTTCGTTGGGCTGCGATTTCGCACGTAAACTGAGGTATTGACTGCTTCAGCCCAGAATTCGTTTGGAATATGTGCATGGGACAATATGGATTGGGTTGTTTCTACGACCGTTCGGTTCATTCTTTCCGCTACACCATTCTGCGCTGGGTTGTATGGTACGCTTAATTGATGAACGATACCATTCTTCTTCAGGAAAGATTCGAATTCTTTCGATGAATACTCTCCTCCGTTATCAGAACGTAGAACCTTGATTGGCTTTCCAGTGATATTCGTAGCATAGGTGTGGAACTCTTTGAACTTTTCCAAGACTTCGCTCTTGTTCTTCATGAAATATACAAATGTATAGCGCGAGTAGTCGTCGATGAAGCTTACATAATATCTTGATCCACCAAGAGAAGGTACAGACATTGGACCACAGACGTCGCTATGGACAAGTTCGAATGGTTCACTAGCACGATAATCAGCAGTCTTCGGATAAGGACAGCGATGATGCTTCCCCTTGATGCATGCTTCACAGAATTGATTTTCATTCGTATTGCTTACACCGTCCATTCCACTTACCATATTTTCGTTAATAAGTTTGTTCACATTGTTCATTCCCAGATGGCCAAGTCTACAGTGCCACAAATACCGATCTGTATCAGGTTGTTGTTTGGCAATGTTCACATGCTCTTTCACAATATTCAAGACATATAACTTTCCTTGGATCTCTCCCACAGCTAAAATCTTCGAATTCCGAGAAATTTCACACTTGTTTTCTTTGAAAGTAACAGTTGCATCACGTTTCACCATTGCATGGACTGACAGCAAGTTCTTATCTAACTTAGGGGTGCACCGGAACCAGTTTTTTAAGTTCCGGCCGGAACCGGATCCGACCGGAACTGGAAAAAAGTTCCGGCCGGAACTGGAACTAATTTATTAAGCCATATATAGTCATATGTTACTTTGTCCGCTGCCAGACAGGCAGACACTTCAAGTCATAAAGGAGAGAGCTCGCAAATGTTAGAATAAAAAGATTGACAAGCGTTAAACGTCATAATGAAGTGTTAATAGTGTACATTTCCCTTGCGTAGTCCAAATTTCTTCCTACTGTGAACTTTTGTTAGACACAAAAACGTTTGATATTCTATCCCTCTGAAAACGACAGAGTTCCGGTTCCGGCCATGCTTTTTTTATTAGTTCCGGCCAGAACCGGAACTCTGAAAAATCGGGGTTCCGGCCGGAACTAACCGGCCGGAACCGAGTTCCGGTGCACCCCTAATATTGTTATATCATGACTGTATCGGACTGGTTGGAACAACCTTGCAACAAGTCCGATAATACCAACAAACTTGTTACAAGTTGTTAACAACTTGTTCCAAACTTGTTGACAACTTGAGACAAGCAGTGCAATCACAACTTATTGATGGCTTGTTTGGCAGACTTGCTAAAAGATGTGAGATCTTTATGCATGTAATGTGCTTTATTTTATTATTTTACTCTGTCTAACACCAGACAATTTTATTTCCCAAGGGGGCGTACTGCCGCTCGCTGGGGTTAATAACATACCTCCTCTTTATTTTATTATTTTACTCTGTCCAACGCCAGACAATTTTATTTCCCAAGGGGGCACACTGCCGCTCACTGCCAGGGTTAATAACATACCTCCTTCTCTGGCCTTCTTGGAAATGGCGATTGATTAAAAAACATGTTTGACATATTGTTTGTATCATGTAGAGGACTTTCTGAGTAGAATCCAACGCTGTTTGATTTCAATGTTCCAATTAAACTCATACTTTTGACAAGAGCTGCAAAACAACATACGGTAGCAAGTTAATTATACAAGATGACCCATCTGGACAGGGGCAAAGATAAGATAAAAAAATACTCAGAAACCACCGAGTATTTAACAGGGTGTATTAAAAAAACAAGGTAATCCAATTTTGGCATGTTATCATGAGTTATATATTCCGCTTATCCATTTGCTTTTATCATACCAAATAAAACAAAGATTAAGCTTTTAGCTGTCGAATGATACCTCACTTGTATCATTGCGATAAAAATAGCCAAATACAATCCAATTTTAAAATGTAGCTCGAAATCGCATTTTTCCACTGTTGGGAAATGCATGTAAAGCTATTGTTTGAGTATTGAAATTATTCTCATTTGGGATTCAAACTTAAGTCACTTGAATCAAGATGATGCAACTCATATGTAAACATCAAGTTTTGGTAAATTTCTACTTGCAATTTTGCATAAAAATTGAGTGATTAAAACATTCACAGAATTGGAAATTTGCAGACTGAACTTGCAATGGCATATGTTTCCCAAATGGGCAACAAGCATGTGGGCAAATGTTCGAAAATTAGAAGAACATTAAAAAATATTTTAAATCCTAAAAGTGGAAAAAATGCAATTTCAACCAACCACTTTAAATCAGATCGTATTTTATCACAATGATTTCATAAAGGTGTCAAATGACAGCTAAAAGGTAGCCTGCGAACAGGCTCTCAAGCTGAATTGAGAGCCTGCATCGATGACTAATGAATTTGAATATCTGCCCCGTAACGTTCGTTTTTCCAAATATGGAATGTCTGTCCTTATATGGTGTTGTTTACAACTTTCGTGCAAACTAAATTTAGACCGTGCAAACTAAATTTAGATCGTACAGTTTATACTGTTTTTCGAAATATAAGATATTCAAGCAAAAGTTCAAATGTTTTAAACACTGTTTTCTCAAAACAGAACATTTCGTGCTTTGAGATAAGACGGCCAAGACCAATTTGATCAGTTAATGTGTTTTTTATGCATAGTGCTTCAGCAGTTGACATATATAGAGCTCAGCGGAAACATATAAATTATAGCCTCTGACCAATGAGAATTTCGCGTCACGATTTGAGACGCAGATATTCAAATTCATTAGTCATCGATGCAGGCACTCAATTCAGCTTGAGAGCCTGTTCGCAGGCTAGCTAAAAGGTGGCATACTTTCCGAAAGGGTCTGTTGGAAATTTATACAGATAAATCTACCAATTCCAATTGCCTACCAATAATCAACCCAAACCCAATACTAATACCAATTATTATATGCCTTTTCAAAATTCTCTGTTCTGATTGGTTGACAAGCAGTCCGTAAAAACCCATATCCGGACTGTGGTCCATATTTTTCGTATCTGGACCGGTGTCCTGGATGTTGTTTATCTGGCGGGAAATTTTTGCTTTGCAAACAGAAAAATTTTTTGTTTTTTAAATTTCCAATTGAGCTTTACAGATAAAAATTTCAAACAACCAAATTGTTTTTGATTGAGCATGCATGCCTACCGTATATTGTTACCCAGTGAAACTGACGATCAATAGCCGATTTAATTTGTGTGAAAAGCATATGCTCACAGACTCAGTTCAGCCATATATAATAAACCGATTATTGACCTCGCTTGTTGGATCTGTACTGTGAAATATCAGACTTCTGCATGTTTTTTGCATGGACTTCGCTCCTTCGTCGCTCGGTCCATACTAAAAAACCTCGGTCTGATATTTCACAGTACAGACCTCACGGTCGGTCAATAAGCCTTTATTATCGGTCAATCACTATATGTATCTGATAATTTGTCTGTATAAACGTGGTGAACAGATCCCAGTGTGGAAAGTTTGTTTCGCACAACCAAGAAATCGAGCGTGCAATTTTTATGCTTTCCATATATTTACTATTAAATCTTTTATTAAATATCGGTCGTGCAATTTCCAGTCAGGTCTGTCAGGAACAGATCATCCATCAAGATGAACTATGCATAGTTGGCATTTCCACTCGTTAGCACCTCACTCGATTGAATAATAGTTGAAGGGTACGTAATGGAGTAAAATTTATATACATTTATTAGACCTAATCCGGCAGGAATCGCGGGCCCGCAGGTTCAAATCCATCCAGGGACATAAAGTTGCATTTTTGCTTCTGTTAATTCCTGATTAGGTCTAATAAATGTATATAAATTTCTCCCCTCGACAATTCAATCTACAATACCTGAACTATACCTGTTACTGCGCCATATTTTGTCTGGCAAATTTTTAATTATTTAATATATTCCCGTAATAGTTTCTAAAAAAACAATAAAATAAAGCCTATTATTATTAAAAGTACTTGTTAAATTTCAAACATTTTACAAAACTAACACAATAAAATTTACAAATTTGTTTATATCAAAAGTAATCATATAAAATCTTGTATAATTTAATATCCAAAAGTCAAATTATTGACTTTTATACAGTATTAAAATTCGCATATCCACTGTTGGCTTTTATATTTATTTTGAGAAAAAAAAACTATTATGCTATAATTTGTAACATTAGCCTATTTTATTCATTACAAATCGACTAAAAAAACACTTGAATAGCGGAGTGATTATAATTTATAAACAGAAAACAGTGTTTTAATAATACAGCGAGTGGATTTAATAGTTGTCTCACCTGACACCTGTGAATTTAAGTGCAATTTTCATACCTTTTGAAACCGTTTTAGCCCACAAAAAGCAAGCCATGCGTAACAAGAGAGTTGTAGTTTTGCTCAATATATTACTTACCTTTTTAGAAACAAGATTTATTGATAAATTTGCGTCCAAAATACAAAGTTTTAATTTTGTACAAAAGCTTCGCTTCTGTCCCGCGCAAGCTTTTTCAGCAGGGGACTGGGGAGGAAAATGTAGAAAATTCACCAAAGACTTCATTTAAGTTGCCATATAATGGCTCAATTTTCCGGCAATATCCGGACCTGAAACGACAAAAACCGACACATAACGGTACAATCCGAATACAAATAACGTGAAATTTAAAAATTAAAATTCAAATTTCAAAATTTGAAAAAGAAAACATGGACGTTTCTCCAAAGCGAGCAAGTACACCTGTTCACGATTCAGTGTTGAATAACACGGCTTTTTCGATGGATTCACTACAGATTGGCGACTCTACGCGCTCTCTGCTTTCTCCTTTGTATAATAAGGAGAAAGGATCGGATGAGCACTCTTTTTGTGGCGAAAAAACACCGTCTGAAAAGGAGTCGAGTAGTGGCTCTACTAGTAGCAGACGTTCTGATGCAAAAAGTGATCGGAGTTATAGCGATGAATCTGAAACTACTGTTAAGAAAGGAAAAGCAAAAAAACTAAGCAAACGTTCAAACAATAGTACTAGTAGAAGCTCATCAAGTAGTAGAAGTTCTTATTCAAGTTCAACAAAAACATCGAAAACAGAATTGTCTGATAGTAGAAATAGTTCAAAAATCTATACTGAGCAACAATTACCTTTGAGTCCGTGGGAAAAATGGCTTCTAACTAAAGTTGTTGAGGACAAAGAGCGTGCCAAAACTGACAAGAGGAATAAGGAAATACAACAAGAAATTGAGCACAAAGAGATGAACGAAAAATCTGAAAAGGAAATGCGGGCAGAAGTGAATAGAAAAGAATGGCTAAAATTAAAACGAAATGAGGAGAAAGTTAAGAATGAATTAGCGGCAAGATTGGAGAACGAGAAAGTACAGCGAAAGCAAGAGGAACAGGCAAGAATACAAGAGAAAGTTGAAGACAGTTACGAGAAATGGTTGGAAGCAAAAGAGAGTGAACGAAAAGAACAAATAGAAAATAAAAAAATGTCTAAAAGAGAGAGGAAAGAAAATGAGTTTCAACGAAAACAACAAAGCGACGAAGCTTATAAACTATGGCTTGAAAAATCAAAACAACATCAAAAATTACAAAACAATCATTTTGGCTACATAGGGGGTAAGGTTACTGGTTACTACGATTGGACAACCTATCCCATGCCGTCTTACAATAACCCCAACCCATGGGTGTCTCCAAAGGTTCGGACACGGTACCAAAGTAAAATAAAGTTGCAGAATCCGTCACCGCCGTTGTTGTTTAAGGAGCTTGAAGAACGCGAGAGGAAAACGAAACATAGACAGAACGTTAAAATGAAACGCAGTGGAAATAGTGTTTGTTGATTGGTATTAAAATTTGAAAATGTTTTGTTGTTTTGGTCTTGTGGTTAACCAGCAGTTATCAGAGAGAGAAAAATATTAATTCTCTTTATTATATACGTAGTAGTCTTGTATTTGGTGGCAAATAATTGGAGTTGAGAGATGCAGAAGGATTTGTAGATGGAAATCCCTAATAGCAGTTGCGAAAAATGCAACTATCGGGCCCTTTCGCAGGAATCGAACCTGCGATTCCGTTGCAGCAGCACAGTCATATTTTAACAATCGTCAAATAAGCTACACAAAACAGACCAATATTAGCACTAATAATCGATTTAATATAACCCTTTGAAATATTAACAAAACCACCCACAGAGAACACAACTTATAAATGCCTATAATCAAATCTGAATTAAATACTCTATTTTAATAATTAAGTAAACTTAACAGCCAAAAAAGAATATTTATTCCACAATACAACCAATATAGGTGAATTTCAGTGAAGTGAATTTCAATATAGGTGATAATGCATCAACTCTTTAAAATAATCACTTATCTTAATCAGAGTGATAACTACCATTTGCAAGGACTGGCGAAGTAGGGGCATGCCCTAACAAAGAGTAGTTTTGATTTTATAGAAACAGTATGTCACAATGAGTATTTGTCAACACAGTTCATAAATGCCTCAACTGTATTTTTCATATTATATGCTTAAAATCTTCTGAATACTCAATGTGTCTTTACCACGGTAGAGAATATTATTTGATGATGTCATACATTAAAAAATGCTCACCTTTGCACTTTTTCTGTAACAAGTTTGGAACAAACTGTTAATAACTTCTCACAAGCTTGACAGCATTCCAAGGTTGTTTTAACAAGTCTAATACAATCATGATATAACAAGAATGTTACAAGCTTGCATGATCCCACAAGGTTGTAACAATATTGTTATGTCACGACTGCATCGGACTTACAGTTGCAACAACCTTGCAACAAGTCCGATAATATCAACAAGGCTGCTAGAAGTTGGTAACAGCTTGTTTCAAACTTGTTGACAACTTGGGACAAACAGTACGAACACAACTTGTTGACGGCTTGTTGGCAGACTTGCTACAAGATGTGAGATTTTTATGTGTGTAATATGTAAAACACTTCAATGAAAAGCACCTATATTCAATTGTTGCTAAAACCCAATATCTACCTAACATAATATAAACTTGTCTAACTAGTAGTAACTATATATCTGCATGTGTGCATACGTCATAAACTGACCACAGATCACAAATTGGTTTGGATGTAATGAATCTGATAACTGCTACAAGCTCTCGTATTTCCATAGAGAACAAACTTATATAGTTTACAAAAACTATCCAAATTGATCTGAGATGCGTGGCCAAGTCTATCAATTTAGTCCTAACGTATATAGTATATAGTATTTTTTCCTATACCCATGTTCACAAAGTGTGCAAACTAGGAATTTTTTCCCTAGAAACATTCTCCAAAGGTGGACATTGAATCAGAAAACATGGTTTCAAAAACAAAACCTAAATTAGCCATTCCGAAGTTGATGAGTGGACTGGGGACGAGTGTTAAAAAGTGCTCAAATTAGGGAATGAACCAAATCACTAAAACGACCACCTTGAAATTAGTCAGTATACAAAGTTTGAAGATGTTTACATGAATACCTTCGAATAATAAGCTTTCGAAAATGATGAAATTACTGATTTGGGATGTGCGTCCCCCAAAACAAAAATTACAGTACATTTCATAGTAAACATCGCAATTTTCGAAAGCTTATTATTTGAAGGGTATTCATGTGAACGTCTTCAAACTTTGTATACTTGGTTCATTTCTTAATTTGGGCACTTTTTAACACTTGTCCCCAGGCATCTCATCAACTTCAGAATGGCTAATATATCCATAAAACTGCTTATCCCTCGCCCCAAGATGTAGCAGTGCATAGCTGCCAGTATTAGAGGGCTACTCTGTGTAGGTATCTCTCATTACCCAAACCACAGAGTAGGTACATACAGAGTTGTAACAGGCTGTCGTAAACACTGTGGGAACTTACATTTTCATGTACTCACTTTTTTGACAGGCGGCTGGGCAAAAAAATCAACTGCTCGTGCTCGGCAAGTTCCGCAAGCAGTAAAAGCGAGCCGCCATCGAATGGGGATGCATGCCTCTAGTAACCTACCGAGCATGCACACAAAAAAAGTGGGTACACTAGTTACAACTCTGTATGTATCTACTCTGTGGCCAAACCCTCTAATACAGCCGGCTATACCATGACACCTCAAGTATTTTCCTGCCTTGAAAAAAGGCTTACTTAGAACATAATATGAACAAAGTCTTCCTCGAAGACAACACAACGCCAAACCTTTAAAACAAAGTTACCGACTGACTTTTGGTTTGCATGACTACCTGTTTATTTTGCTGCAAACACATGCTACAAATCTTCAATGGAAATGACCTGATGAAAATATATTACCCCACAACGGATTGAGGTTTTTGTTGTGTGAAGCAATAAGACTTAGATCTTGGATAAATAACCATGTGTTTCCAGGTAACCGAACGACTCATTGTATTTGCTTGGAGGCAAACATTAGCAGAGCTCCGATGCTGAAGCCAGCGAGGGCAAATAGACTCCAGTTTTTAAAGTCAAGTTCGTTAGGGAAGAAATTATCTGCTCCAGGTTGTTTAAAGAAAGTCACAAATCCAGCCTATAATGGATAAATGTAATCAGTGAGGAGTAACAAGTTTGTTAAGTTTATCAAGTCTTAGCATTCTACACATTAGGGACGTATTTTATGACTGGGGTTACACTGGTTCAATAAGAGGTAATCCTTGATAGAGCTATCCAGTATAAATAAAGTTAGTTTAGGTTTACAAATTCTAATAATGAGTGTTTATATGATCCCGCCACTTAAAATTATCCCGCCTAGACGGGATCTTGGCAACAGATGCCCATATAAACATTTTCCCATATAAACATTTCATCCCGCCTGTACTTTTCCCTTGAGCATGCGTAAATGCCTTTTCTGCAAAAAATATGACATCAAGCACTTAAATGGCTTCATCCCGGCAATATATTCTGCCCATATAAACACACTATCCCGCCTGGATGGGAAACTCGCCTAGGCGGGATCATACAAACAGGCCCTTACTGGACCTCTAGGGAGAACAGTTTAGAACTGATAAAGCTATCCAGTATTCAGGTTTCCTTTTGTATGGATGAATAGGGGATGACCCTTATCCCACCTCCAGGAATTACAATATAGGTGTTAAAAGCTTATATCCTTATTAGGTTTTGAAAAGTCAAAAACCTATATCAAAATACTTCAACAATATTGAAAGTGAATTATTTACAGTAACATAACTTCCTTCTTTAAATTGCAGCTTTTATTATAACCTCAAAATATACCCTTCATAATTGCAATTCAATTTAATTGAATATTTACAGTAACATATGCGATGAAAATAAACCTCCGGGAGAACAAGGGTATTAAATATCACAACCAAATCAATTTTATTAAAAAATGCTCGATATATTTTAGGAATGACATATTTAAATTTTTGGCCACCGGTCCACCAGAAAGCATCGAAAATATGGGCGAATATATATTGTATTTCCTATATATTTGCATATTGTTATTCATATTCTATAAAATTCGTGCTAAAACGCACGCAAAAAAATGCTTATTGGTTTGCTTTAACTCGAACTTCTATGACAGATATTCACTGTAGGAGCCAAACTTCTAAAATATTTCCCATTATTGACATTTACATTTTGCAGTCGTATTGTAAACAAATATCACACACTAAGCTCCCTTTAAATTAATGTTGCTTTAAAACTCGTTTTCCTTACATCAAAATGCTCCGTGAATTGATTCAAATTTCGCGTTAAATTGCTGTTGAAATACTAGTTCGTTCAAGAATTTATTACAGTGACTTAAAACAGCTCAAAAAATACTATATAACCCTTGCCAAGAAAACTTTGAATTGATAAGAATGCAACTACTTGAAAAAAATGATATACCTTCGCTCGAAACATCTGGAAGTTCCGCTTGAATATTTCAGGCACTTGCTTCCCTGATAGTATCAAAGTTGTCTTACTATTACCCCGTTCAAGCATATAACCCTGTTGCTGTTATACATCTCACATTTATTAAGTCATTTAAGTGTTACAAATCTTATATTAAAGAACCCTATGACATATAGCACATATTGTTCGCATATTATTGCTGATACGTACCCAGCTTCCATGGGCTTCGATCCAATCTCGTAAGTTTGTTTCCACATATTCGGTCATCCATTCGGGTATATCGTCCAGAAATGGCCAAAGTTGCGAATTATTAGCACAATGTACGGCAACAGATCCACCGAAGGCCAAAAAGGCAACGATTCGCCCCCAGTTTATTCCTGTTACAAAAATCTCATCTGAAATCCCCAGAAATATCACTTGAATATTCTCCGATGTCATGTGCAGTTGGTCGCCCAAATTTGTGAAAAGTTCGCTCGAGTCATCGATCAATGCATCTACTGTGCGGCGCACATGGACTTGGTTTATATCAGGGCTAGGATTTGGCTCGAATCTTTCAAAATTGAAACCGTTTTTTACCAAAATGTGACTCAACAGATCGTGTATCACTTCTCGAACACCTTCTCTCGTTATTGTACCGGGCGAACGAAGCATTTCATGCAAAATTCACCGACCTTTCACCAAAATCGAACTTCCATACGCTTTAAACGGTTGCACAAGATCTTCTCTCCCCCGCAGCTAAAAAACAATTGCACGCCCTGGGTTGCTGGAAATTGACCAATCAGTGACGAGCAGTCTTTATGACGTATGCTTAATAATAACTCTGACAATTTGACCGCGTTTGAAGTGGCCGCTTTTCCGATGAGAAAATTTTATCTAATTGGCAAAAATTGTCAAAATAGTTTCTTAATTCAACGCATTTTTAATATGATAGGATATTTGGAAATACCTACAGAATACATATAATCGGAGCTTTTGAAATTTAAATGTTTTTTTATAGAATTTAGCACAAAAAAGATTTTTATATGTGGGCGGTAACTTTTTTGTGAGAATATTCGAATTGAAAGTATGTCAACGATTCCTCTGTTCTTTGACCTCAAGAAGTCAAGAATTTGTGGATTTTTCGCACTTCATGATCAGTCAGCATATTACGGAGTTATACTTTTTCTTACAATTTCCTCTCAAAGTTGAGGTGAAATCGACTCAAGCCACTCAAATAATTGAGAATTCTGATTTGCTTTAGGAAAGTTGTAACGACATGTTATAAACTCGAAACATAATTGCCATTATTGTAAAGCTATTTCCGTACCCAGCTGATGAGAACATAAACATTCCATTTATAGGGTGGGTGGGAATTTGCTGTTTTAAGCGCATTCTTGAGCTCGACGTTTTATCTGTCTACATCTAAGTAAAATTAGATTTCTCTCGAAAATAACTGACATTTTTGCAAACTGGCACTATTCACAGAAATGCAAAGTTAGCGGAAAAGCGCGGAAATACTTCACATTGCAACTTGTTAAAGTAAAGTTTTTAACATTGACCTTTTGGCTTTGGCTAAAAACATTTTCAAAACAGCGAGTAGCAGTATTTGGTATAAAGATTTGATTACGCAAAAAAATGTTTTGTTTCGCCTTGCAAAGAGCCTCTGGAACCATGATAGCAGTTATTTTAAATTTGGCAAAGGTTTCGACCGTAATAGCACAGAACTTGAAATATAGTTTTCTGTGGTAATAGCATCTATTAAAGACTAAAAAGGTAAAAAAGGGGAATGGTGACCAAGTTTGTTTTGACTATTTTAAGGAAAATCTACACTTGCCAAAACTACATGCCGAAATACAATAAAATACACAGCTGTAGGTCAACCGCTTCTTACGTATGAAGAAACCGTTATTAACAAACTACTTCCTCAGTTCTGAAGAAGGGTAGGGCACTAGGGGTTTTGTGGTCACTCAAAAACAGACTCTTTTTTGCAGATAGGAAGACGTTTGACCAATTATTTACAACTCGTTACACGTCAATAAGCCCGATTCTTCACTTGACACTGGTTGAAAGTTTTGGGTTTTCGACTGGGAACTACATATGCTGGCAATGTACAGTTGATGAAATGAGGTCATTCACAAGGTCCTGTCACTATTGGGTCACTATTGGGTCACTATTGGGTCACTATTGCGCATGAGAGAAACAAACGTATGAGAAGCGTGTGAAAATTAATGAAATAATTTTCATATATACGCACAAAATTACAAAAATCCCTTGAAACGCCAGCGTATTCAGCTAGCGTGTGCCTAGAGTATGCTTATCGTATAAAATATATCGTCCGCTAATAAGCACAAAATTTTTAAGCATGCTTTAAAAAAAGTTTCTGTCTCCCCGTGTCTCAGCGTATGCGACCGTGCTTGAAACGTATACAACCTATGCCCAACGTACCCCTAGCGTATGTCAGCGTATACCAGCGCAGTATAAGTGATACTTTTCATACGCTGGCATACGCTATAGTACGACTAGCCAATAGGGCCTTCATATTATGATTTATGATCTCCAGTTTACATTCGTGGATATTTCGAACATTTGAGTTTTCGTTCAAATCCATTATTGGGTAGCCCCAACTTGATGTTTTTGAAAGAATATGCGGTGATTTCGAGGGCAACAAGAACCGTTATCGGCCGTATGAATGAAATCCCAAAGTGCCGGCGATTTAATGATGAAGCACATTTTCTTATATGCACTTGGGGGCCCACCACTGAGCTCTACTATATATATCTGGAGATCGTGCTCCCATATCTCGTCAAACAAAAAAGTGTCCGCAAAAACATGGCGGATTTCGAGCTCCGCGTCCACTATTTTCGGGCGATTTACCACTGACCACATAATATTTTTGAAAGCCACCTGTTTTCGCACCCCCCTGGATGCAAAAAGTATACACTGTGTAATTATTAAACTATCAAGTTTCACAACTTTATATTTTGTCAACATGCCGCGTTAATATTGCTCGGTTTATGGTTGTCACAACTCCTTTGACAAAGACGGATTGTATTCACACTGTCACTGGTAAGGAAATATTATTTTGTGCTTAGATATCATTCGAGAAGTTTTTTCTGTAGTTTATGTTTTGTTCACGTGCATGTGTCACATACCAGCTTTTCTCGACTATGGCCTCCTTTCTGATGTTTTTGCATGCAGTTTGTTTCATTCAAATATTATATTTCCATTGTTCCTTGTGATGTTCTCATGTGCGTTTTTCCTACCTACTGTACAGTGTATTTTATAGGCCTGTTTGTATTTATGAAAGCATATTGTTATTGAATTTTTTCCCTTCACATATTTAAGTATTCCTGATGCAAAGAAGCATCCAGAGTTGTACAGCGTATGGGTTGAGTATATGAATAAACATGCGACAGTGAAGTCTGTTCCTGCGAAAAGTAGTCGTTTGTGTTCAGATCACTTTAGTGCTGATATGTATGAGATAAAGGGCAAAAGCCAGAAATTAGTATTGAGACTGGATGCTAATACCAACAATAGTTACACAAAGGTTTGCTCAGGTCATTGGTGCGATTTAAAGTGTTATATGTAACAGTGTGCATGAGTTACATTCTTTGCTAAGGGACAAGTCATTATTAATGCCGGGTAGGGGGCTGGACGAAATTTTTATGAATAGCAAAAATTTTTCATGACCCCTTATTTTTCTAACAAACTATTTTATCCCCCCCCTCCACCCCAATTCTGAATTCAATTACTCTAAGTCAGTTTCATAACCATTTTTCCTGCCCTCATACTCAGTTTACTTGCAGATGTAAAGAATATTGTAAATATTGAAAATAAAGAATATTGTAAATATTGAAAATGATAGCCAAGTAGATAATTCAGACTTTATACCTGAAAACTTGTTGGTCCTCAAACAAAAAAACCCACAAATCAGACCTACTTTTACTAATTGAAAAAAATACATTTGTGTCTGGTGGAAGCATTACTGTATATTGAAGAGATGGCAGAAGAGACTGTCAACAACATGCAGAAACAGAACATGCAAAAGAGGTCCACTGTGTTAAAAGCAGGACAACAACTGTCAATTGAATCTTGCATTTGCAAATGCAGTGCATGACCCTTTAGACAAATTCTTTGGTGATGATGAGGATGACAATTTCCATATACAGTGCCTAGAACACAACTTTTAGGTTCAATATATTGGGCATTACTGTTCAATGTATGTATACTGTATATATCCATCACTCTTTTGATATTGCATGTTATAAACTATAGATTTTATTTTTTGCCCCCCCCCCCTTTATGTTCAAAATATTTTCTCCCCCCCCCCTTCACTGGTCAAAAATTTTTTGTGGCCCCTCTATATTAAATTTTTTTGTTACATTTACTAGGAATGGTATGCTGGATATGTTTTAAAAGAGGGCATACAAAAATTGTGTGCCCAAATAGAGCAAAAACCCACTCAGACAGTTGTTCAAGAACAACATAATTGGCACAATTGCCATGATAATTCACTAAGTAACTTTGTGTATGTTATAATGTGTGAATGTTGTGTGAGTGTTGTGTGTTAATTTTAATTTATTTATTAGGCCATTAATAAATATGCTTGGTTTGAAAAATATTTTAGGGGGGATGTCCCCACTGCTGGTGCCACCACTGGAAATATCAGCTAATTTAATAGCCAGCATAGCTTCAATAAAATATATTGAAGTAAATATGACATCAAATACTCTTTTATTAAAAGCGATAGCTATGT